AGGGTGATGGGGGATGAGGGGATCAGGGTGATGGGGAGTGAGGGGATCAGGGTGATGGGGAATGAGGGGATCAGGGTGATGGGGAATGAGGGGATCAGGGTGATAGAGAGTGAGGGGATCAGGGGGATGGGGAATGAGGAGATCAGGGTGATGGGGAATGAGGGGATCAGGGTGATGGGGAATGAGGGGATCAGGGGGTGGGGAGTGAGGGGATCAGGGGGTGGGGAATGAGGGGATGGAGGAAGATTCATCACTTTTATTACTTGTGGATGGAAGAAGGAAAACGACAGGACCTGGTCCCAGCATCCCGTTTTACTTCACATTCACAGATGTGTGGTAAACTGGACCCCACTTTTGCCAGTGCTACCCTGCTCTTTCAGAAGGACCCTCCAGCTAATGTCCAGCTTTTCCAAGTAAGTACACACAGCATGTCTAATAACAGAGCCCCGCAGCCACATATGATGACTCTTGGCTGAGCTTGGCAAAGGACTGACTTGAATACTACAGACTATGTGCATAAATATCTAGGGAAGGACATCAGAGTCACACTGCTGCCATTGCAGCTGTCTTGTCCTTGATGGCCTCCATTTCTCTCTTAGGACTGGATGCCTAACTGTGTCTGTTCCATAGGGAAAGGAAAAATCCATTTTGTCCTTTCTGACCCCTATCGTGCCAATCCAAAAGTCTTCTTGAAGATGCACGCACAAATGTGTGTGGGCACACAAACACATCATTCTAATAGCTTTTGGGGGATGTTCTAGGTAAAAGGCCAGCACATATCCTGTCAGCATTTGAGTTTGTGAGCCATACAGTGCATTGAAATGTCTACACCCTGTCACTATAGCACAAAACAGCTGTAAACATATAAATGAATGAGGGGCTGGGGATGGAGCTCAGTTGGTAGAGAGCTTGCTTACATTGGAAGCCCTGGGTTCAGGCCCTGGTTTACCATGAAACAGCTGCGGAGGAGCATACTTATAATGCCAGCCCTAGAGAGGTAGAAGAAGGAGGATCAGGAAGAGTTCAGCCACACAGTCCAGTATACAGGAGACTCTGTCCCTGAAAATGAATCAAAACAAAACATCCAAAATAAATGTGCCAAGTTAAGTAAGTATTTATAGAACCAAACTGGCTGCAGCTTGCTGAGCCCTGAGTTGTTAGCCCACAGATGAGCTAGCTCTAGGGCATGGGTATCTGACTGGAATACAAAGTTTGTCCTTTTTTTACTCTGTAACCTTGGACGAACCACCTCTATGCTTCTTGGGCAAGTTAATTAGACCCACCTACACATGCGGATAATGACAAACTTGTTTCACAGAACAAGGGAGGATGGAAGTGTGTTTGCTGGGCATGCAGCTCAGCGCTAGAGCTGAGTAAGACCTTGAGTCCATCTCTAGTGCTGAAAAGTTAAATAAAGCTGCTTAGAAGTTCATGGCACATAAAAATGCTCAGTAAGTATTAGACACTTTACTACTCTGAAAACAACCAAAATAGAAATTGATTATAAACTTAATAAAACATTTTGGGAAATATAGCAAATTATAAACAGGAAAAGAAAAGTCACCCAAAATTTCAAGTCCAAGGGAAGTTCATGCATTTTGTTTTATTTCTATTTTCCTTCTTATATGTATGTGTATATGTATGATATTAATAATGTGCTATTTTGTATAAAATTAGTCAATATACACATATAGGGTGTTTTATGCTTAGTATAAGCATTCTTTGTTCCGCTCTAAATTCTTCAAAAGTATGTTTGAGTTGTTGCGTATTACTCTGCTGAATGAATATATATAACCCAGTTCACAGCTAACCCATATTTAGGTTCTTTTGTTGTTTATTGATATATTTACCCTACAACTACTCTGTCACTGACTTCTTATGTGCCCTTTAGTGTCCTTTACCCTGAGAGCTATCTGGCTCTTACTAGTTCCTGATATCCCCTGAGCCTATAGAGAAAGTGTCCTCAGAAGCTCAGCCAGACTAGTAATCATATTCTTTCAGGAGGTGCCCAAGGGTCAGTCTGAGGAAGACATGGTGGGCCGGCCCCTGCCTCACCTGGCAGCAAACATGCAGGCATCTGGGGAGGCTGTGTACTGTGATGACATTCCCCGCTATGAGAATGAGCTCTCCCTCAGGCTGGTCACCAGCACCAGGGCCCATGCTAAAATCACGTGAGTATTGCTTCCCAGGGAGTCAATGAGAAGTGTGCTTTGTAGGAACTGGAGATTCCAAGAGAATGAGGGCCCCGGAGGACTCCCCATCATAGAATAGAGACAGGAAGTTCTCTCAGACCCATCAGAGAGCAGCAGGAAGAGTTCAGGCATGGTACCTCAAGTTCTCTTGGGGGGAAGGCAAGAAGGTAAGAGGGCAGTCTGGGAGTTAGTTTCAGTTGGCATGATTGCCAGCTAGGGCTATGGGTAAATCCTTTTTTTTTCTCAGTTTTTAATTTTTTTTTTATTGGATATTTTATTTATTTACATTTCAGATGTCATCCTCTTTCCCCATTTCCCCTCCCTAGAACCCCCTCCCATCTTCCTCCTCCTTTTTGCTTTTATACCATTTTAATTACATGCAAGTATTAAGGTCAGTTTTAAGTTGAGGAACTAGCAATACAATAGATGCAAATAGTCAAGGAACAAGAAAGACAATAAATACAAATAGTCAAAGAGCAAGCAAGGCAATAAACAAAATTCTGTGAACACTCCCATGATCACTATTTCTAAAGGCTTATTAGGATGACTAAAACATCTGAGCCTACTTCCCTGTCCTGGCCCAAAGTCATTTTCATGTATGAAAGCCTACTTCCTTGTTCTAGCCTAAGAGTTAAATTCCTGCCTCAAATTACTTCTTTGTTCTAGCCTAATGTCAAATTCCTGCTTGAAGCCCATTTCTTTGTCTTTGGCCAATGTCATATTCCTGCCAAGCAGCCCATTTCCTTGTCCTCGGCCCATGTCAGATTCTTGTCAAGCATCCCCAAAAGCTTTCCACCTCTCCCCCCTTTTAATTTCATAAACAAGACTGAGCCTGTCTTAGGTAGTTCTGCCAAGAATGCCTTCCTTACCCATCTTGGAATATGCATTATCAAAAGCAATGCACTTATGTCTTAGGTTGGTAAGGCTCTGTGCAGAATCTTACCCGTTCTTGGTTTGCCAGCCTGTTAATTTAATAACTCTGTCTGGGGGTCCATTTTCAGTTTCAAGCCATGTACTTTGGCTGCCAACATGATGATGTTGTTAAAGACAAGCTTTAACATTATGGGCAGGAATAAAAGTATTCCTAGGACAAAAAGGGCTAGCATGATCAAGCTATATATACACTATTCTTAATGCTTGGCCAAATTAGAAATACTGACCTCAGACCATGGGTAATTTTATCAGCAGTATCTGCCGCATCAACACTCAGCAGAGCAGCATTCTTTAAATTCATATGCTCACTATGCAAAGTTAAAAGATCCAGAGAGGTGCTAGAATTATGCCAAACACCCTACAAGTGTCTTTAAACTTTTTCCTAAGTATAATGACTACCACTGTAAATTCTAGAACTAACATGAATCCAATGGTATTTGGCATGACACTCAAGATGGCTCCTTACTCTCAAACTCTGAATCTCCTTCCAATAATTTGAATAGGATAAAGAGCATCAATCCATTGTTCCAAATGCCTATCTAAATCCTCTTGTATATTCAACACATTAGTAACATTTTTTGCTAAATGATTAACAAAAGTAGTTGTCTTAACTTCTTGTGTAGAATTCTTTTGCTTGGCTCTTGCCTGAAAGGACAGATGCTTCACTGACTGAGAAACTCATCACCTTCCTTGACTTTGATCCCAGATATGTTGCTAACTGGATGGGTGACTTTGGACAAGCTACTTGAGTCTTTCAAACTTCTCTTTCCTTAACTGTAATATTGGAAAGTTATGGCAATTACTTTCTTTTTTTAAAAAAATGAGGATTAACTGCTTGGAAGATGAGTCTTTCAATGCACTTTTCTAGAACTTTCCCTGAGCTGCCTCTGCTCTTTAGTCTGTTAGACTTAGCCAACTCCAGCATCCTCCTTTTTAGGTCCAGATTGCCTAATTGGATGTTCTACTATATTTGCCTAACACTATTAAGAGAAAATGGTCTACGAGCAGATGTTCAGGGCCACTGTTTTCATGGGATAGCAAAGGCCCTGAAGTGCTGGTTCCAGGGACATTAAATTCTAACCAGAGCTCCCCAGGGTCATTGCTGCTCTCTTAGATATGGCTCCCTGTCTTAGAGTCCAGACATAGGCTGACATCTGATCTGTAGAGACAAGGGTCATCTGATCCATCCTATATCCCCAGCACAATGGCCTCTCTGTAGGAGATATTCAATAACTATTTTCAGAACATGATAGAAATGAGCTAGCATCTAACCATGAAGAAGACAGAGATGGAAAAAAATGTTGGCAGAGGGAAGTGAGACAGGCCATCCAAGCTGGATGACGTAGCTCCTGCCTCAGCTTGCTGACCTCACCCTGAACTCTGCTCATTCTCCAGGTCCATCGACACTTCAGAAGCCAAGAAGGTGCCAGGGTTTGTTTGCTTTCTCACCTCAGAGGACATCCCTAATAGTAACGTAACTGGGGTTTTCAACGATGAAACTGTCTTTGCAGAGGATGAGGTATGTTGGACGTGTCATCAGAAATAACTGCAATAAATATCATGCTTTTAATTTGTATTGATTGTTCCAAATTCCTAATCTTGCATATATACTGGCTGTCATGTAATTTATCCAGTATTTGGGATAATCCACAAGGGACAGGATACATTATTTGGCTATTTAATTGATGACTGCTGTTTTTGCATAATAGGAGACTCCATGCCAAAATGGCAGGAGAACAAGGCTGGTGACTGTATGTGAGTTAACAACCAGGATTATAAGGTATAGCATTGAGCACCTTTACTGAAAGAAAATAAGAATACATTAAACTAACTAACTAGAAACAGGATCATAAACCCACCACTAGATATAGACAGCTCTCTTCTATGAGGATTTATTTATTAATTTCAGCTGTATGAAAATCTGCAATTACAGAGTCTCTGAGCCCTGAACACAGTTGCTACAAATGCTTCACCTGCCAGTTCCCAGATGGTCATTTTATAATTCCAATACTCACTGAAAGTTGCAAATTAGATTCAAGTAGGTGTTGCTGAAGGCTAATAGCCTTTTTCATATTAATGTAAAGGTGAATCAAAGATCAAAATCCTGAAAACACAAGGACTCCCACAGCATTTGTGGAGGAAATTTATAGTGTCTGGTAGAAGAACAAATTAGTTTATCAATGTCTAGAGCCCCAAGAGTGTTGCTAGCATCTTATTTAGAAAGAATCAACTGGGTACAAGCAGGTAAGAACTGAAGAAGCAGTTACACCAATACTTACAGTTCTTTAGAGAGAACTCCCAAAGGATTACATGCTGAGCATTGGTTGGTGTTCTTGGAAACATTGCATATTAATATGACAAGCTGTATAACAGGTTTTCTTTTCATGTATTTTCTGGTGAGTATATGATTAAAATTATCCCCAAGGAAGGTCCATTTTGAGTTTTATAGAAAATGGTTCAGTCTTTTACATGCTCTTGCATGAACATGAAGATCTGAGTTTACATCCCCAGAACCCATGCAAAATATAAGCTGTTGTGGCACACACACGTATGATCTAGACAGGCAGATCCCTACAGTTCATTGGTCAGTCAGATTACTAATCACTGTACTCCATATTCAATGAGAGATGCTAACCTCCCCAAGCATGTGCACATATATACACATGAACATCTACAAGCACATATAACACAGAGAGAGAGAGAGAGAGAGAGAGAGAGAGAGAGAGAGAAAGAGAGAGAGAGAGAGGCAGAGGAGAGAGAGAGAGAGAGATTTAAGGGACTGTCTTAATAAATTGAAGCAACAATCACTATAAATTGAAAACAGGTGTCATTATGTCTAAACCAGCATTGTTTGTGATCGGTAGCACTGGAGCATCTAGAGCAAGGTTTCTCAACCTTCCTATGCTGTAGCCCAGTTTTGCGTGCTATGATGACCCAAGCCATAAGATTTATTTCATTGCTGCTTCATAACTGTAATTTTAACTACTGTTATGAATCCTATGCAGGATATCTGATATGTGACTCCCAAAGGGGTCGCCACCCACAGGTTGAGAACTGCTGATCTAGATGAAGTTATGAGACTTGAGTGTGGACTTTGAGATGGAAAGATACTGAAGCTGAGAATCAAGACCGTGCCTCCCGTTTGGCTCACGGCAGACAAGAAGAACCACTGTCCATATTCTATCCTGTGCAGCTTCTCAATAAGCTACCAGATTGAAAATACAAGAATTGGGCACTGAGTTGAAATCTTTCTATTCTAGTGCCAGTGATAGATGGTCTCTTCCTATCACACTGATTCTAAGCTCTTGTGAGGAAGCTCATGGCCTCAGTTAGTAGGGTCAGGAAATGGAAAGGCCTGAGAGCATTCCTAAAATGTGCTTTGACCAAAGGGTGGGGGTGGGGGCAGTCTTTGGCTTTTCAGAATATCCATACAGATTTGCTTCCTGATGAATTTTATGATCTTTAACAACTTCTCCCTGTTCCTAGGTTACTTGTGTTGGGCACATCATTGGGGCTGTGGTCGCAGACACCCCAGAACATGCACAGAGAGCCGCTAGAGGGGTAAAAATCACCTATGAAGATCTTCCGGCCATTATCACAATCCAGGTAACTAAGAAATGGGCTGCTCCTTTAGAGGAGTGAGCGTCTGCACCCAAGCATTTCTTTGGAGGATCCTCTAGAGAAAGAGCCTTCAACTTGAGTAGCACAAAGAGATTTGACTACAGTTGACAGCAGCTTCCCTTGGTTCTGTTTAAATGACTTTGATTCCTCAGATTAACAAGCATAGCCTGCAAACACCCAGACTCTCACTTTAAGTACAATACTCAATTCATGTATAATATCCAACATTGCATTTGAAAATAGGGCTTGTGATAGATAATTTTGTCCAACTGTAGGCTACAATAGATTTTCTGAGTTTGTTTAAGGTCAGCTAGTTGAATCTATGTTGTTCACTCAGTATGTTAGATACATTGAATCATTGGCATATGGTATTTTCAATATGATAGGTTTATTGGGTAGTAACCCTATCATAAGATTATGATCATCTCTAAGTAGGTTTTAGAATTCCTTCCAGCCCTAGATTTTTATGTTCCAGAAAGCCTTACCTTTCATGATCCTGGGTTCAGTCCACTAATGACCAAGCTGAGATCCTCAGGCCCCATATTTCAACTGCAGTAGATTCCTTCTGACATTCTCTGCTCTTCCAGAATCTCAGAGCTGTCCATCTCCCACTGGGGAGAAGGTCAGAACATGATTCCCTGAGCTCCAGTTGAGAGTGTTTCAGAGTATGAAGGAACTCATAGAGGCACATTTGTGAGGAGGGAAGGACAGTAATTCAGAAGGACCCTCTCTTCCTGGTCACAGTCACCTTCCTCCCTGGAAAGACATGTTACTGAAGAGTCTTTTCTGACCCTCAGGATGCTATAAAGAACAACTCCTTTTATGGTCCTGAGATAAAAATCGAGAAAGGAGATCTTAAGAGAGGCTTTTCTGAAGCTGACAATGTTGTCTCAGGTATGGTGGCACCATGCAGCAGAAGGGATGGGGGCGTTGGTTTGTGAATTAAATTCTAGAGATACACTTGGAAGGGGCCTTAGAGAAAGGAAGTGAGTTGACAGCATCTTCTAATATAAGAAACCTCTGGGTTGGAATGAAACTGTAGGCAGTTAGCAGGGATGGGGCTTCTCCTATTGAAATTCTCATTTTTTCATTTCCGGGCTGGATAGACCCAAGTGATCCTACATTATGTCTTTGGAAGGCCGTGTAGAGAGATTGCTGGCCACAGATGTGTCCTACTTTGGGACAAATTCCCCACTCTCACCAGATGCCAGAAGGTGTTTTTACCTACCCTCTGTGAGCTTCTGCCCCTCCACATCCTCCCTGAATTCTAACTCTATGAATTAAGCCCACAGCTTTCAGCCCAGGCCAAGTCCCCTTTTGACCCTTAGGCCCTGCTAAGTCACTAGCAGACTAACTAGTTCTCTAACAGGACTGGTTGATTCCCTTCTGAAAGATACATTTCCAATCATGTTCACCAATCTCTCTTCTCTTCTTCTTCTCTTCTCTTCTCTTCTCTTCTCTTC